GAAGATCAATGGTCAGTACTTCATTTTGGGCAATTTGAAACATTGCTTTATCACAGCTGGAGGCGGCCATAGCCTTTGCGGCCTTTACCTCTTTGTTTTTCCGATCAATCGGCTTGCGAAGGCTGTTGACTCGGAGCAGGGCCTAAGTACAAAGAAAAACAGGCGTCAGTTTCCAATCATAAGGGTTAACAGGCGTCCTGGAACTTCAAAAGGGTATACCTCAGCTAGGATCCCCGAAATTCCATCGAGGTCAAGGGTGCCGGCACCCTTGACCGCCTCCCTGTCAGAGGGAGGAACTACTTTAACCATTGACTTGGCTACCTCAACCAAGTCAAGTCCCTGGGGGCCGGCTGCATTAAGCAGAAGGAAAAACAAGTTAGACCTAATCAAGAAGGAAGCAAGAGTGAGTTTTTACAAGCAAGGGTCCATACATCTAGGCGGCCCCGCTTGGGTTTTTGAAGAAGTGGCCGGCTGCTTCTCAGCCGCCACTGTTTTCCTGGAAGACCCAGGAGAGCTTGCAACAGTCGTCCTCCGGGCCTTGGGGTCCGGCTGTTGCGAGGAAGAAGCCCTTGGAGTGCCAGACTGAAAACAAAAAGAGTTAGTATATGCATAATACAACTTAAAGGGGAAGAGTTTTCAAAGCTTACCAAGGGTGCCTCCTTGCTGGGGGAGTCGGCGTACGACTGCTTCATTAGCGAAACCCGCAGCATGGCCGCCGCAGTCTTAGATGCTGTTATTTTACTCATGGCGTCGGCTGAAAGAAATAAACAGCAAAGTTAGTAAAAATCCCAAGTAAACAAGGCGTGAAAAAACAGAGTATTCGTCAGGCCGGCTACCTCTAGAGCACCGACTGCCGAGGCCACAGGCGGCCAAGAAGTACTCATCATAGAGCCACTTGAAGCTCGGGACGCAGTGTAGGGGTACTTGCTCTCGTACCCCTGAAGTAGAGTTCACCCTAGTCTCTACTTTGAAGAGTCCTTTGTCTAGGATCTCTCTTTTAGCCTTTGGGGGAACAGGCGGCATGCTGAGGCCGCCTGCAAGAAGAGGCGGATCCCTGTTCCACTTGTTAAATCGTTTGTTCAGCTCCGTGTCTGAACTCTCGATAATAAGGAAGGTGTTCCGCCAATCCTTCCATTTGTTTGCCTTACCTCTCGTCATGAGGTAACCCCTGTGGCTTGTTAGTTGATACCAGCCGGTACCTCCCGACTTAGGGGTCCGGCTGAGATAGTTCATGTGGGCGAAAGCCTCAAAACTTGGCTCCACCCCGTTCAGTTCGCACCCGGCCACATAGCCGAGTACGTTTACCCAAGAGTTGGGGGCTAACTGCCATAACCCCAGATCATACCCATCTAAAATCCGCTGAACAGCCGGATGTAATGGGAAGCGCAGACCAGCTTTGATGGCCGCCACATAGCAGCCAAAACAGCCGTCACCATAGCTGGTACCAGCCGGCCAGACGACAGTATCTTCTGGATCCGGCACAAACAGTAAATACTCCGGGCCCATTTTGTGGTTAGCAATAAAGCTCGCCACGTTGTCTCGCATGGTTGCGATCCGGCCCCGGGGCACCCTGCAGTAGTAGGGGGTGTTTTCCTCTCTGTAAGAGGCGGACGGCTCTGCCCAATTATCCCCCTTCTCCACTGCATGGGAACTTCTCGCCTCTTGTAGGCGGTTATGTTTTTCTTCTGAGTCAGAAGAACTGTGGTCAGAAGAGCTGGAATCGGACTCGTCCCCTGACGAGTCCGAAGAGGACGACTCCTCCCCTCTCCTAGAGGGGCCCGCCTCCTCTCCCTTAGAAGGAGCAGAAGGTAAATTGGACATGTCCACGGTTAGATGAGAAGGGAACACCTTGGTCCCTCTCTCAGAACTGTCAGCTTGACAGTCGCCTCGTTCCACATCTGGCGCCTGGTCAGATGTTTCGCTAAGGAGTACCCTTTGGGAGGAGCCGTCTGAGTTTGATATTCTAGCAGTCTTTTTTGTTCTGGCCATCACGTTCTGCATAGACACAGATTCAGTCGGACTTTGTATAAAGGGCAAAGATGGGTCCAGAAAAGGGCAGGCGGCACTCCTAGTCCTAGATTCAGCCGTCCCCGGTGACCGGCTGATCACTAACTTAGGGCGTGTCGTGTGCTTCCATGGTGCCATTTCAAAAAATAAAAAGAAAATTAAGAGTAAGAGAACTGAGTTACCTGAATGGATGACAGTTGATGAAGTCCTGAAAGTTCGGGTCAGTCGGCTTGTCAGAACAGGCGGTAGGCAGAAAAAGTCCGAAAATGTCAGAGCAAGTTCAGGGGTCCGAATGTTCTCGCAAAAATTCTCAAATGTGAAAATGACCGAAGTCAGCACTTCCTTTTATAGGCAAAATGAGAAGGCGAAGGGTCGCCTCCGAATTCAAATTTGGGCGGGAGAGTCTCCCGGCCGTCTGCAAGGTGACACCTGTAACGGGCCGTCGCCTGTCACCGTGCGACGCCTGTCACAGGCGACACGTGACCAGTCGCGTGCCACCTGTGAGGGGCAAATGATTAGGGGATTTTTATCCACCAAGCACCGTTTGACAAGTGGACCAACCAGGTTCCGCCACGCGTCCTCCATGGACCACTTAAGACACGCCACGTGTCCACCCATGCCAAATGGGACAACCGGCCATCAAGGCCCATTTCAGTCTAGAAGCCCGATCGGCCCTAGGTTTACCTTAAACCTAGAGAGTTGCACGCTTCCCAAGGCTATAAATACTCGATTAATCCTCATTAATCAGGGACCGAATAATTTACAGAACACACTAATAACCGGCTGATCTCGCTAGCAAAGCAGATTACCTACATTAAATACTCTCACCTAGAGAGACCTTATTACTTTAATTTCTGTATTAATTACTCCTTAATCAGGTACTAACTTGACCGTTGGAGGCGGAGCTCTCAGGAGTCTCCGTTATTTTGCAGGTACAGGCGTCCGGTTCCAGTCTCGGAATTGTAACTCTCCCGCAGGACATCAGAAAACCCCGAAACACCTATCATCATCATTGAAAAATTGGAACACAAATAGATTAGTATCGACAGACCTAATCGCCACATTCTCATCAATTCTCCATAGGTTTTTCAGCACCCTTTTCATTGCCTCAACATTACAGGTCTTCTTGGTCAGTAGTTTACCCACCAACGACAAAGCTAGCTTTTGTTGCGGACCATCTTCATCCACCATTGCATTCGACCTTTCAAGCACGAAATTCTCTTCCTCAGTCAGTTTTAGGTTCTCCCACTCTTTCACCAATTGATCCTCCAGACACACAGTAAGATTGATTACGAATTGATTGATTTATCTTGGAATTAGTAGAGAATAATTGCAGGAAAAATTTGAGAGAAAACGGAATACAAACCCTAACATAGAGCGTTTTTTTTAACCCTACTCGAGGGACTTAAAGATATAAATTTATTAAAGCTTTTATTTTCTTAGTTTATTTTTTTTAGAAAATTTGGTAAATAAAAAAAATAACTAAATTTTTAGTTCCCTAATAATAGCAAAGAAGGGTATTTTTGGAAAATAAAAATTCCCAACCAAAAATGGGGGTTCACTCTAAAGAGTAACATAGATATATAGACGTGGGGAAGGCCATGGCCGACACCAAGCCCCCATTGGCTCCGCCACTGACTTTTTCTATGCTTGAAAAGGGACAAAAAAAATATGTTTATATAGTGTATGAGTGTGAATGAGATACAACTAATCTGGTCACGAATGAAAGATACAACAAATTTTGTCACCAATTAGGCCAAAAATGAAAAGCATCAATCCCTCAATTAAGCCAAAAACAATTGACTTATTGTTTTTGGTCTTCTTTATTTTTTTTTTTTTTTTTTTTTTTTTTTTTTTTTGGAAACCAGCCATAAACATTTGAGTAATTGAGTATATTTCAAGGAATTAGCTAGCTTAATTAGGATGCCATGAAAAATACTATACAATGCAATTATGACAAAGGAGAAATAATTCTTTTCAAGCACAACTTATTTGTAGTTTATATTAAAACTCCAACACTTGTTTCATGATTCAGTTTTTGAGCCTGGTTATGCCATTTTTGTATATTGTAAGATTTTTTATAATGATTTATGTTAGCCAACCCCAAATTATTTCTGGGACTAAGGCTTTGTTGTTATTGTTGTTGGAAGAAATAACATTTGTAAGTTACACTTGAATTTTGTTAGCCTGAAGAAATTACCTGCAAGCAGAACATTAAACATAAAAGTACACAAGAAGACCAAAAGAAGTGCCAATATACCAGTAGTTAACTAGAAAAAATTACCTGTAGAGTTTGGATCGTTTCTAGCAAGATTAACAACACAAGTCCTGCATGACTGGAATCACCGGCAACTGTTTTCATATACTCCATTTTTATGTACTGCAGTATATTGAAGTATTATACGAGTAGTTCATTACACTAAACCGTCTAAACATGTTCAGACTGCCTGTTTTGTGTTCTAGTTCGCTCAGGAGTCAGGACTCAGGACTCAGGACTCAGGAGCAAGCTTGATATTGAATTGATAGGCAATTAGGCAGTTAGGAGACATCGTCTTATTTGCTTGTAGTCGCTGGAGAAACATACAGATTCTGCAGAATCTTGAGTTCCAGTTTTTGCATTCATCTGTTTCAAACATTAACTTGTCAAATGTCAACCATGCATCCACGCTAATCTGGGTTTAAAATCCACGAAGGCGGCACTTTTTGTTCAATCTCATGTTATATAATATCTTCAAATACAACACCGTATTTGGCAAGTATTTGATCAAATAGTCTGTACACTTGCGTTCTTTCTATGTACCTTAAAAATGCAAATTTCTGTCATTCTACACTTCAGAAATAGACTGAGTCATATTGAGAAGTTCAGCATATAAGGCATCAATGGTTACACAGACATGAGACAAGAGATTGCAAGATTTGAGGCTGCACGTTAAAATAACAGCTAGTCACCCTGAATAAATCTATTTTTCGATACTTAATGAAAGAAAGTCGACTGTTATAATCATCCTATCTTATAGCACTATATATTTTATGTTTAACAGGGCTAATAGCCGGGAAAATATAATATGTACTCGTAATCTTGCTCAAACACCAAACCAGTGTAACAAATTACGTAGGCAATGCTAAACAAAAAACAATTCTGAGTACATAATTCAGCCCATAATTTTCAGGTACGCAGCGAACATTCTTCATTTAGAAATGGAGTGATTCTGATATAGCACCTTTTCAATTCAATCAGCATCAGCACGAAGTAGCTAACCTAAAAGGGGATGAACAAAGATAATTACCTACAAAGAACCAAAAGAAAGCTTTACATCCAAAAACTCTGACCATAACTGAAGAATATGATTTTCTAAACAAAATCATAATAGATCAATTTTGTGAGACAATACTGATCAAATCCTCAAATACTCAGATGTTCTTCCCTTGGCAAGCTCTGAACAGTGTCAGACCATCTTCCCGGTGAATGGTCACTGCTGTTATTCGATGATACATGTGCTTCTGCCCTAGTATCTCTTATCATCCTTAAAATCTCTTTCATTTGAGGTCGACTATCAGGATTAACAGCAACACAAGTCATTGCAATAGTTAAAAGAGCACTCAATTTCTCCTCGGATGTCTCATTTCCTGAACTACCTTCACCAGACTCGGTCTCCTCTTCTCTCACGGACCTAACCCATTTAGGAATGTCGGCCCCATGCTCTTGAACGAGGTCTTGATATGGGGTTTTGCCTGTCATCAGTTCTAGTAGTAGAACGCCAAAGCTGTATACATCGGCTTGCTGTGTTGGCAATCTTCTGCTGTCTCTGCATTCAGGAGCTCTGTAGAAAAGGGATGAGGCACTAGGTTCTTCCGTGGACTCTGGATTTCTGAATGATTGGAGTCCATAATCTGTCAGGCAAGACTCAAAGTCTGATCCAAGGAGGACATTTGAGGATTTCAAGTTCCCGTGGACAAGTTCAAAGTTTTGATGTATGTAAAGAAGCCCGGTTGCCAGGTCCTCAGCGATTTTGAGGCAAGATGTCCAATGTAATGGCTTTCCACCTCCAGAAGGTCTATTACCTGATAAGATGCGACGAGTTAATTCAGCAACGCAACATCATTACTCAGACAAATACAACCTCATTCGAACAAGTATAATACAGCAATGACTTACTTCTTAGGAACAAAATGCAATATCATCAAATTTCTAAAATTTATAGACTAAGGTTACCTTAGATACCATGAGATAACACTAACACTACTTAAATAGTAATATTATCGTGTTAAAATATCAGTTTTGAATTGAATATCAATGCAGTATCTATTAAGTTCCTGAATACTATATTGAACTTTCAGAGACGCCTGATTTCAAATAGAGGAGTAACATGCTCGTAAATCTGAAACGTTTATCATATAGGATTAGCTTTTTCATTGATTATGCAAAGAAAAGAAGTAGCTAGCCAAAGAGTATCCTATAAGTTAGCTACAGACTACAGTAATCAAGATCGGTAAACAATCTTAAATCGATATCTTCCAAAAATCCCATAATATATCTGAACTTTGTTCATAGAGATTGCCAATAACAAAAGTTAAACATAAATTCAACTATCATTAAGGTAGAGGTCACTAGGTTGATGGAATAATCCCCCTCAAAAAAAAAAAGGTTGATGGAATAATCATGAATGCTAATGCGAAAGGCGATTGGTTTAATGACTTGAAGTTGTACGACTGTAACTTCAGATTCTTGCTTCAAAGCAATTACAGTATTAGTATCAATCATAGTTAATAATTAGTTAGCTTGTCATTAATTATCCTATTAATAAAATCCTCTATATTACTGTACCTAATGTAGTATTATGTTGTAAGACATACTGTAACTGCTTTTAGGACTCAGATAGGACATGCCAAATCGCTAATACATATTAGCGAAAAGTAATTTCTGATGAATATTTTACACGATAAGTTAGAGAAGTGAAACTAAAACTACTTTTTATTATTCTTTAGCCTTGCAATTTTTTTTTTTTTTTTTTTTTGACAAGAACCTTGCAAATTAAATAATATTACATATGAAGTAGTTAAAATAATGTAGCTTAACTTATTCAAAAATTCACATAAACTAATACGAAATAGGACTTTTTGTACATTGGATATGCAAAAAAGTAGAAAGAGAAAGTAATTAAAGTACATGAGAAAGTAAAATTTACATGGGAAAGTTAAATTTGCATGAATATTTTTGCAAATATTAGAGATTTTTGGTAAAAAAAAATAATATTATAGTACTTGAAAAAAGCAAATATGACTTATATTTTGAGTCACCAAAAATGGCAAAAGTGACTATCAATCGAGGACGGAGGGAGTACATTGAAACAATTCAATTAAGAATTCACATGACTATATTTTATCGTATCTATGAATCAGAAACGCTAGTTAAAGTATAATTTGTAAATAGTGTAAAACTCAAATGGAGTCAACTTAAAAAACCATAGGAAGTACATATTTTAAAAAAGAAATGAATACTACAAAATGATGGTGATGAAAATTAAAGGAAAAGCAAGCGTACGGCCACGCTGGAAAGTTAAGCTTGTGTCTCGTGTCTAGAAAACACAAGGAAAAGGACGTGTAATCACGCACTCTGACACAACACCCATGTTAAAGTAAACACTGATTATCTGCTATATCTATCTGTCAAGGGAACGGTCTCGATTGTTCAAATCTAAGCAAATGAATGGTCCAGATTTATAGATTGCCCCTTACTTTGAGACAAATTTAAGAATTTTCCCACTTAACAAAAATGACTGCTACTAGCAAAGTAGCAAGTGCATAAAATTAAAACAAAATATCAAATCATGCATATAATGCCATAATAGAACAGAAATAAGGAATAATAGAGCCCACGATGTTTTCTTAAACTGAAGTTGCCTAAATATATATATATATATATATATATATATAAGCCCATTTATTTAGTATAAAATATATATATATATATATATATATTTATATAGATTTAGGCAACTTCAGTTTAACTTTCAATTTAGAAAATGCAATTATACACATTCAATATTAAAAAAATGCACATTTAGTATAAAATATATGCATATTTGTTCCTTCTCATTTTCAGGTCCTTCTTTAATATATATATATATATATATATGTGTGTGTGTTTAAAAAACCATAAGAACATGGGTGAAACTCGATCCCATAATCTCTTGAAATCGGGAAGGAAGTTCTAACCACTTAAGCTATCCCTCACTCTCACGCCTACATATATAACGAAGTGCATATATTTGGTTAATTAGGTACTTGGCTTCTGGGACAAACTTGTGGTAAAAATGGTGGTCCATGATCTAAGATCAATGGAATGTGACATTTATCTTATACTTCATGTTTATGAATGATCCTAAATTTTGTTTACGAATGATCCTAACACTTGGCATAGACACTCTTTGCAATTGACAAGTGTTTTATTTGGTTTAAGGAGTGTATTATGAACAACTAAAAGTGAATGTATAATATATGCTCAAAACAATTTTTTTTATAATTAAAAAACTACATTATTCAATGGGATACTCCATAAATACCCTACCCTCCTCTCTCTCTTCTCTCTCCTAAACTCTAGCCTCTATTATCAATTTTGAAGGGGCTTCCATTGGATTTTACCGGTGGAAAGCCCCAATCTTTAGTTTCTTTTAAGCTTTTTGTTTCTTAGGTTACAATGATAATGTCTCCTTAGAAAGAAAGGGTCTATCTCCTTCGAAAGACAAGGTTTTTTCGATCTCCTTCGAAAGACAAGGTTTTTCGGACTCCTTCGAAAGACAAGGTTTTTCGGACTCCTTCGAAAGACAAGGTTTTATTTGTGTTTAATTTGGTCTCCGGTTGTGCGGGGCTACAATTGATTATGGCTCGATTTCGGGTTACAGAATCAGCACAAGAATTAACTTTCTCACAAAATTGCGAAGCGACGACGGATCCACTCAAAAAGTTGTATGAGACAACGAATCGAGAATGTGCCGAATTGTTATATTTATGTATTTGGATTCTTAGTCCTTCCCCGATTAATTCTTGTTTGATTTTGTTAAATTCGTTTTCATTATTGTTAATTGTCAATTGTAGATGTCGTATGACTTTATTTAATGAAATTTAATGTCCTTTAGGACTTCTTTCCAAAAAAAAAAGTGAATGTATAATATAATATAAAGAAAAGGACATGACAAAATCATCATTTAAATGAGATTGAAAAATGTTTTTTATTCTGTTTTTTTTTTTTTTGGAAAATGTGAATAAGGTGTGTACCAAAAAGAGTAAGGATTCACTAATATGATTAGGGTCAGCTAACATGTATCGCTTAAGAAATCATACGTCATAAAGTAAAAGGCATGACAAACTCATCATTTAAAAGAGATTAAAAAAATTGAAAAAAGTATTAAAAGAAAAAAAAATTAAAAAAAATAAAAAAAAATATAACTGTGATTAAGGTGATAATTGACACATACTAAAAGAGTAAGGACTCACTAATATTTAATTGTTCGTTTGACATCGTTTTTTTTTTTCAGTTTGTTTCTACTTTTCTGTTATCAATTTTCAACATGAGTTTAATAAATTTGACTAATTTATTCATTATACGACATATATCATATGATTTTGAAAAACAAAAAACCAAAGAATAGAAAAATCACAGTGATGTCAAACAAAACCTAATAGTTTTATATTTTGCACAATGATCAACCACTTTTAAGGTTTATACTAAAATAATCTCCACTCTAACTCAAACATTCCCCTAACTTCACTTTAAAATGGTAAACAATTCAATAAAAATACCCTATTTAAACATTTCTGTAACTTTGTACTCATCATGTGTCAATTAAATGAGAAAAGAGGGAGCATTTCATTTTCATTGTGCGGCAAGCTTCATGATTCTTTTGTGTAAAAGTAGCTATCAAATTCAACCTCCATTGCAACAATAAAACAAAATTTAAAAAAAAAATAAAAATTAAAAATTAAGGTTGTAGATTGCACAGAAATTAAGGTAATTGAAAAGAGTGTATTGAATTGTTAATGTGGTAAATGGGTGTGTAATAAAAGTAGATAAAATAAAATTAAAAATAGTAAAGTTACATAATTTGGAAATAAAGGTTAAAATCATAAATAATTAATGTAATTCATGTTTATTTTAATTTAGAAAAATTTGTAAATAATAATCCTTTACTTTTAATAATTCCAAATCTGAACTTAGCTAAAAAAATAGCAAAAAATAAAATAAAAAATAAAAAATAATAATTCGAGATTTAGAAAGGTGGGTCTTCGAATCGAAAATGTGGATCGGAAGCGTTGCTGATGGGAAAATGTGGGTCTTCGGGGATGAAATTGGTGTTGTTCGGCCAGTGTTGGTGGCCAACATAAGTCGGAATTTGGCTAAGAATTGTTGCGAGGCGATTGGGAAGGGGGAGGATGGCTAATTTTCTGATTTTTTTTTGTTTTAAAAAAATAAAATTGTGGGCTAATGAGGACATCACACGTGTCAAGTGACTTGGTATTATAGGTCATGACTTTTGTTGACCGGATTGGGATTAAAGAAAGGAAACAACCCTCAAAATTGGGATTATTTCAAAATAATCTAAAATTGAGATTATTAAAAGTAAATGAAGCAAATTTGGGATTATTATTTAGAAATTTTCCTTTAATTTATTATACCTTCAATTTTTTTTTTTCCTTTTGAAGTAATGTCAGATAATTAATGATAACTATTATATATATATATATATATATATATATATATATATATATATATATTATATATATGGAAAATGTTATACATAGCCCTTAGAGCTACATATAGGGCGTGTTCGGCGTTAGCTTTTGAGTAGCTTTTAGGTAGCTTTTAGTGGTTTGACCAAGTCAAACCACTACTCAACAAAAAATGTGAGTGTTTGGCAAAGTAATGGTTAGGGTAGCTTTTAGTGGTGGAGGTAGCTTTTGTGAAAAGTTAGAAACATTAGCTTTTGAAATTAGAGGTAACTTTTCAAGTAGTTGTTGAAAATTTAATCTATAGTTTTAAAAATAAAATATTGATTTTTATATGTAACAGCTAGTCAAGCACTACTTTACCGAACACTCATATCTAAATTATTTATCTTCACAGCTAACAGCTACCTACACAGCTAACATCTATCTCCACAGCTACAACTACCTTCACAGCTATATTTTGCCGAACACGCCCATAAGCATTGAATTCACATTTGAAAATCGTAAAAAACTAAGAAATCATCAAAATATAAACACTAACAACACTGATTTACGCGTGTTTTTGTCATGAATTCCTAATTTTATACAATTTTCAAGATTATATTTAATACTTATATATAACCCTTAGGGTATATATATATATATATATATATATATATATATATATATATATATATATATATATATATATATATATATATATATATATATATATATATATATATATATATATATATATATATATATATATATATATATATATATATATATATATATACACACACACGCATTCATAAAATGTATTGTACCTTTTTTGGTAAAATGTAATTAAAACGAAAAACTTACAGAGTAAATAACTTTGAAAAACAGAGATAGTAGCAGTGTAGAGTACATCATTAAATAAGAATATAAGATCACAGTGTAGTACATCATTAAATAAGATCACTAATAAGGACTGAGGCTGTTCACTTTTTTACTGTGATAAATCCATCAGGCAACGCCTTTATTTCCTAACTAGAACAATTTAAGGTTTTTCTAAAAGAAAATTTAAACTTATTTTGTAATTGGAATTTTTTTTTTTAACTGAAATTTAGTGTTTGACCACCCATTATTACGTTATTTATGTTATTTGTTGAATGCTTCAAAACTATTTCATGTACACATTAAAACATTAATCTTGCTTCAATATTTAATGAGAATCTTCCATAAAAAAAACATTTAATGAAATCCCACATTACAAAATTTTTAAGGGTAATGCTATATATAGCCCTTAAGGCTACATACAACAATTAAATATACCCTTGAAAATTGTATAAAATTAGGAATTCATGACAAAAACACGCGCAAATCAGTGTAATTAGTGTGTTTTTGTCATGATTTCCGAAATTAAAATAATTTTTTAGAGTATTTTTAATGCTTATATATAACCTTTAGGGTTATGTATAGCATTTTCCAATTTTTAAAGTACGAAGTACTGTATATTTGCAATAGAGTACTCTGTATATAATTCAAGCAACCAGATTTGAATATTCATGGTACTACAAAATTAAATTAAACTAAACATTAATTACAACCGAAGATTAATACTCGTAACTTTTTATTTTATGTAAATTAAATCCAAAATATATTTCATTTTAGTTAATCTTTTCTTTATAAGCCAAAATTAATTTTTATATTTTTCCACAGCCTGGAATCACAAAACATTATACTGTATTTCTTTTTTTTTTAAAAAAAAAAAAACAAACAAATGAAATAATAATAAATAAATAAAAATCAGAACCACAGAATTAAACCGACAGAGTAAATGAAAAAAGCGCCGGAAAAACATACCGTGAACAAGGGAGAAGAGACTTCCGTTAGGAAAATAATCATAAACCAACAAACGTTCTTCTTTAGCCTGAAAATAAGCTCTTAAAGGAACAATATTTGGATTATTCAATTTCCCTAAAACCTCCAGTTGTTCCTTGAATTCCTCCAATTTAGGGTATCTTGCATCTTTCAATCTTTTAACAGTCACAATATAACCTGATTCCATCACCGCTTTATATGTACTTCCTATTGTACCTCTTCCTAACGTTTCTGCCGACGCTTTCAACAAATCATCTAAATTGTAACTCAACACTTGATCACCTAGAAACACTAGCTTCCCTAACTTATCACCCTCCCATGAAAACCCTCCTTTTCTCTCTCCTCCGCCACCCGATGGCTCCCCCTTTTCCCTCTCCGCTGTCGCCGCTACTGCTGCTACGGCTTGATCTTCCGCTTGTGATTCCTTCCTGTTCGGTATGGCTCTCCTGTTCCACTTTCTACACAGGAGGACTGTCAGTATGAAGATGAGTATTATGAGGGCAGTTCCGCCGCACAGTGCTCCAATGAGAATTTTTGCACGACGAGATAGGCGGTGGTGATGGCGATGGTGATGCTTCAATGGAGGAAGTGACAATGACGGGCTTAAAGCTGGCGAAAGAGGGTTACACCTTGCATTGCTGTTACCAATCTGTGTTCCGCAGAGGTTTATATTGTTTAGAAAGGATGATTTATTGAACTGTAACAACGCTGTTGTCTTTGGGATTTCTCCCGAAAGACGATTATTTGACACATTGAAGAATTCAAGGGTTGTTTGATTTAATGGTGGGATTTCGCCACTGAAGTTATTTTTATCCAAATACAACATATACAGCCTTGGCAACTGAGTAATCAATCCCGGGATCCCCCCAGATAGATTATTATCCGACAGATTAATTATCTTCAGCCTGTGCAGAGATGTCAGAGACGCCGGGAATGGTCCCGTAAATTGGTTGAGGTTGAGGTAGAGCACTTTGAGATTCACTAGTTTTGACATGTCTGGGATTTGACCGGTTAAGTTGTTTGACTTCAGACTGAGGACGCGGAGCTGGTCAAGAAGTGAGAGTGTTGCGCCGTTAATGGTGCCACTGAAGGCGCTGCTTTCGACTACGAGCTTCAAAACTCGACCTCTCTTGCATTCCCTTACACCTTCCCATGTGCAGGGGTCGGAGCCCTGCTTCCATGGAAGGTTATTTAGTGGATCAATTTCACCTTTCAATGTTAATAAAGTTTTCGCATCATTATTCTGCGCCATTGAAGAACTCAGGAAGGAGATCATACACAGAAAGACGACAGCGAGTGACATTATTATTTTTTGGAAAAAACTGAATAAAATTAGTTTGTTAATGAGGGTAGATCTATTTGACTATTATTGGGTTATTTTTGGTATAAATTTTGTTTCCTTTTATTTGTCGAGTCGATACAAGGGTTTTCGACGACGTCGACAAAGATCTTGGAAAAAACATTTGGAGGCGAAGTTTGAATTGGGTAGTTTTGGGAGTATTCAGTATGGAAGAAGCAATCACTATCTAAAGTGACTGATTACTGTGATTAGTGAAAAAAATGATGCTAACTTAGAGATCTATACAATATTGATTCTAAACTAACAGATGGTCCCATTTTGGGTATGTAGTGTTAAACAGAGGAATTAGTTGTTGAAGTATCTAAAGAGAAAACTCTGGAAAGAGAGAGAGAAAGGCAGAAAGAAGACTGGTACATTAATCAGTCCATTGGAGGAAGAATGTGAGTGAGTTTGGTTGGAAGAAGTAAGTATGAGAGTTAACATTGGAGTTAACTCTTTCCCAGCTAACTGTTTCTTTGTTTTAAAAAATACAATAACTTAAAAAAAAAAAAAAAAAGGACTACACATTGATCTAAGACTAGCATAGTACCCATGCAATGTACATTTATAAATGAAATCACTAATTTCGTAGGAAAAAACAAATATAATTCAATTAGTAATAAGGGGCCCATTTACTAATGGTCGATTTAAAAATAAAGGAATGTAATTTGTGTTAAATATGGAAGAGAAAAATATACAGAAATGAGGGAAAATTGTTACGTTATATTTCATATTTCATCTAGTACGGGATATATATACATGTACATTACCTAGAGTTCCATCAACGAATAAGACCAAATACCCAACTCTAGAGTATTCTAGATTGTATATGGGATAATAGTCATCCACAATAGATATTATCATAACACTCCCCCTTGGATGACTATATATTGAATAAAACAATATTTACTATAACACCCGTACAAAATAATACACTATAATGCGCATAAGATGCTGCCTCGTTAAAAACCTTACCAGGAAAACCCAATGGGAAAAACCATGGTTAATGAAAAAAGAGTACAGCGCGCATTAACTTCCCCTCATGACTACATCACTTGAAATCTTTAAGACGATGCAATCAAATGCCGTAAGCTAACTTTTTGAATGTTGTTGTCGGAAGAGCCTTTAGTAAATAAGTCTGCTAAATTCTCACTTGAACGAAGCTGCAATACATTTATATCTCTGTAGGCGTCGCTCGAAGTGCGCCTACGTTAAAGCATGTGTGAATAAGTTTGGCACTCATAGGAAGTGGGAATTGACATAATACGATTAGGGACAAATAAAGTAGGGAGCCGCCAACAAGTTTTTTAACACTAGTAGAAAAAAACGCTATTTGTAACGCCTTATTTTAACCAACAAGCGTTTTTTAGTTACAAATACTATATTTGTAACCAACATTAGCTATGTCTTTACAAATATAATAGTATTTGTAGCTGACAACATAATGTTGGTTACAAATACATCCTATTCGTAACGGACATCATAATGTTGGTTACAAATAGGAAGGTTATTTTTATATACTCTTATAACGGCCCAAAGCCCATTACTCTCATAACCCTAACTACCACTACAACCGCCCCCTCCCCCCTTATTTTCTTTCTGGTTTGTTTCTATCTCCTCCTCCTCCATTCTCTTCTTTCACCCCTCTTTCACTCTTAGCTTCCTTTATTTGTTCCTCTCGAATCTCAACCCATCCCTTCTTCACTCTCTTCTTTCCCTCAACCTCTTAGCAATTCTCTCCTCCACGAGCACACACTGCACCATGAGCTATTATCATCAACAATCGAGCTTCACCATCAACCATAGCCGATGTTAACAATATATGTCTTTAATGGTGCTTATGAATTTAGGTATGAATATATATTTTTGAATTTAAATTAATTTGGGGATTATTTTGGTAATTTGTTTAGGCAAATATTCGTTCTTTGTTATCAATCAATTGAGCTTCATGTTGTTTATATGGGTATTTGTTTGTGAGTTGAGCTCAGAGTTTTTAAAAAAGAAAAATTGGATTTCGAGGGTTTACTGTTTCTTGCCCATTTGAGAGATGCTTTGATCTGTGTTTTTTCGTGTGAAAATTGTTGAGTTTTTTGGAATACCCATTAGGGAAAATTTCTCAAATCTCTTTTTTATTCTATTTGATTTTAGATGGGTGTTGTTACTTTTTGGGTGTTCTTGATTTATGCGAAATTTTGGTTAGAATTATGAGCAAATTTCCCATTGTTCATCGACTATGTGTTGTGGTATCCAATTTATGTGAGTTAGTTAATTTTTTTTTTTTTTTTTGTAATCTAGAAGAATTAAAGTCCTTAATTATCATTGACTCTTGCTAAATGCTTATGGTTGAACATTAGTAACTTGAGATTTTTTTTATTTATTCTGACTATATAAATTAGCAATTTTATATTATTTAGACCCAATTGTGCGCTAACTTAAATAAATATAACGTATAAATTACCCTTTTGAACAAATCTATCATTCCCCTATGATCTAATTTAGAAGTATCATGTTTTTTTTATTATTTGTTTTTATGTGTTTGCACAGGGAAAGGAGCTTAACCACATTTGTGAAGGTTATACTAGGCGTCTAAGCCCAACGTGACAAACTATGATGGAGCTATATAGACACTTTTTGTTTTTTTAGACCATTTTTAGCATAATCTGTTGTAAATCTTGTAATTAAATGATTTAGAGATAGAATATAATTTAGTTTGTATTAATTGAAAAGATTATTATTCCCTAGAATATTCACCTATTTATTTTTATCTTTTTTTTATTGTTGAATTGGTGCCAATAATAATAATAATAATAAAAAAAATAATAATAAAGTTATATCGACCTAGCATTTGCTAGGTATTTTTTTTAATATCGAAAATGAGCATTTGTAACCAACAATTGACATGTCCGTTACAACTAGGTACCTATTTGTAACTGACATATCAATTGTGGGTTACAAATATATACCTGTTTGTAACGAACATATTAAATGTCCGTTACAAATACATAACTATTTGTAACTAACAATTGAATTCTTGGTTACGAATAGGTACCCATTTGTAACGGACAATGTCCGTTACACCAGACAGGACTATTTGTAACCCCAGTACTTGTAACGGCCAATGTTGGTTACAAAAACCTATTTTTGTTAGTTACGAATAGCGTTTTTTCTACTAGTGTAAGGAACTTGTAAACCGTTCACTGATCATAAAAAGGCAACCACGATAAGGGACAACGATAGGCAACAACGATTGACCCGTGAAGGTTACACCCCATTCATAATCCATGAGATTACTAACTCCATATGGTTCGGAACCACGAAAGGAGGATCGGGGAAGATGGTATGAAGTGAGTCATGGAGTCACATTCGCCCGTATTGGCCTCTACTCGATTCTTATAGCGAAAAAATGATTCCTGCAATCTCAAAGGCATACAAACAGATATTAAATTTGCTCCAAACTATTATTAAGCTAAATTGGTTTAATATTAATGCAACATATAATTCTAATATATCGTTATCACTTGATTTAATAACAAGATTAAAAGGAACCTAAACCGGTTGTCCAAATTATCTTATTAGGCGTGATTTTCAATTACATATTCCCTTTAAACATGCAACATAGTGATCAATAAATATAATAGAATAAACATTAATTTTGGAAGAAATTTAACAATAATTCCAACATTATAAAATCGTTAGAAAAAATAATAGAAATAAAAGGAACATAATTCTTACTTTGATTCTGTTTGCTTGCAACTATAAAATAATAAACGAGTTAGTAACTTCAAGGAAATAATAATAAAACAATAATTAAATTAAATTAAATAAAGTTGATTTGGGGCCAAACCCTTAAACAGTTCTACCTTTCACGCCTTGGCTTAAGGACAAAACCACGAGTAAAGTATAGATTCCTTGGAGTGCTTGAAGAAGAAATTTTGAAAGAAGAAGGATAGGCTAGTGTTTAGGCTAGAGCATAGAAGAGAGAAAAAACAGAGAATTAATTGATGCCTCGTACATCAGAAATGAGGGGGGTATTTATAGAAAAAATGTGATGAGGGAACACACGGAACCCTAAAAAAATACACCGCGACACGACAAAGCGTACCATGACATGGGAATCCCCACCGTTAGACGGGGAACATTCCCGTGACGCTGTGGACTGTTGTGTGACGCGGGAAATATTTAGTGAATGGGAAACAAAATGCGTAAAAGGTTTACGCGGAAAGGACACGAAAACCCCCGTGTCACAGCAGGTGCCACGTGTCACGGGGAATCCCACCATCAGACGGTACAGTTTCCCGTGACATGGTGGACTAATGCCGTGATGCGGGTGTCTTTAGTCCGTTTTTCCGTCTAAATTCATTTTTAACCCTAATTTCGTTCAACATTTTAAGTTTCGATTGATAATTTCGGGCCATTTCTGATTTATTATTATTTGGGATAAAAAGAAAATAAGTAAATAAAATAAATAAAAGGTTTGGGCCAAAATAAATAATAATACAATAAAATAAAAAAAAGGTTTGGGCTGAAATTAAAAAACTATGCTTTAACTAAACATCAAAATTGATCCATGGATTATTCAAAAATTGAATTTAATTAAATATGATTTTTTAAGCACTCTCGGGATTTAATACTGAACCCGACCAATAGTGACGGTGAAAGGTTGTTCATCATCGGGTTTGGTTTTGGGGAGACATTTTTAGGTGTCTACAGAAGCCCCCACTTTGACTGAGTTTGTAGCAACGGTAGTTTCGAAAACGATAGTTAAAGTAGCCGATAGGGACGGAGAATGATTTAAGACGTTCTGCGATCTTAAATCACTCTGTATACGCCGATACCTGCAGAAAAATGTTAATTCCACAGATAAAAGAGTAAAGGATAGAATACGTATCTAGCACCAGTGTATCGGTGACAAATGAGTTTGGCAGCGTCCTATGCTTGAAGGAATCCACCGGATGACGTTCGTTGAAACGCTTTCCATGCTTGAGGAAAGCCGAATGATGAATTTGGTAGCTTTCTAAGCTTGAAGAAACCTACCGGATGATACTTTCCATGCCTGAGGAAAGTCGACTGATGAATTTGGTGTCATTCTATGCTTGAAGAATTCCACCGATAATGCCTTCCATGCTTGAGGAAAGCCGACTTGGCGATTTTCTATACTTGAAGAAAAATCCACCGATAACGCTTTCCATGCTTGAGGAAAGCCGACTTAGCGGTTTTCTATACTTGAAGAAAAATCCGCCGATAATGTTTTCCATGCTTGAGGAAAACCGACAACTAATGTAATCGCTGAAATTTGCAAGTGTATGATGGTTCGATTATCCCCGAACGTGGGTTGCAGATGATTCACACCTTCACGTCGACTATCCGACCATATTAGGTGTTTTAAAATGTCGACAAATTGACTTTGACGCTAGCAAGGGGTAAAATAGTAATTTTTGATACCCTTTAAATGTTAGTTAGAATTTTCTGCGTAATTTTACTGAGAAACTAACTGTCTAATTTGTGCGGAGAATCGTGCAATTTTGGTCAAAATGCCAGGAATATTCGCTGACAACTTCAAGGAGCATGCAGGTCACGCGCAAAACCACCGTGTCACGAAGAAAAACTCCCGTGACACGGCAGTTAGTCCCGTCACGCGGAATAATATCCCGTGACGCGGGATTTTTGTGGTTGCAAAACTGGTCAAATGTTCGATTTTAGCATTTTTTTACCAGCTAAAATACACGTGCGCCACGTCAGAAGTTTACCGTTACACGGTAACGGACACCCTGGCACGGGAAACGGGGATGCATGACGGGATGCTCTTCTCTTTAAATTTGAGCTTCCATTTGTCATTTTATGCTGCTCTTTCACCATTTTCATCTCCCGTTCTTCTTTTCTCCTTAAATTTTTAATTTTTGAGTCCAAGAACTATCATGCCACGTCAGCTCGGCACTGGAGAATGTTCGTGTTCACCGTGTCACATTTTCGGTCACCGTGACACGGTGGTTTTGCTGCTGTGTTCTCTTATTTTATTTTTCTCCGCTACTGCTCGCCGCTGCTGCTGTTACAGAGCTCCGCCATGACCAGATTCACCGTGACACGGACTTTGAACACTGTGTCACAAATTAGCTAACCGTGTCGCGGCGGCTGTTACTGCTGTCTTCACGGTTTTTTGAGCTTTGGAGCTCAAATCCTCATCAATTTTGCTCTAATTTTTTGCTATTTTCTTCATTTTTGATTCTCCACAAGGATCCATGTAAGTTTCCTTTGATTTTTGTCCCGAATTTTGCTTCAAGTGAGTAATTTCATGTAAAAACCCTTGAAAAAACAATTTGGGGATATTTGATTTTGAGGATTTATGTTAAAATTTTTGGCATGAATTAGCTTGTATATGTATGTATATGTATTTGTGAGCGATTTGAGACAAAAATTGTGTGATTTGGTGAAGAATTGAGCAAATCCCTCTCTTTTTTTGGTACTACTTTTGTGAAATGATGTTCTTGTTATTTTTGTCGTTCCTTTGCACTTGTATATTGGTTGTAGATCTTGTAAAATATGCCATGATGTGTCGATCTATTGTTTTCGTGCAATTTTGAAACATGTTTTGTTTTGTGTATGTACTACATTGTCATGGAGAACATAGTATCATGCAATTAGGAGAACATAGTATTAGTTCGTCATGGAGAAACTAAATACTAGAAATAATTCCATTATTTCGCTAATTTTTAGCCTTGAGGTAAAAATTTAGCATATAATAGAAAATGCAACTTGAAATAACCATTAAGCTGTTTGGAATAAATAACTAAATAACTTAGGAAATGATGCTAAGCATTTAGATTTTTATTTTTGTAATAACATGCCTAGACAACGGGATCGCGATCTTTCCACTCGTGGCCGGCGTCAGGATTTTTGGGAGGACACTCCCACTGTGGTCGTCGGATGAGTTGGTTTTCTGCTGTGAGAACCACGTTTCTCACCGTCCACTTGCCGACATAGTCGATGGCCCGCTTCGCCATCACGGTTCCGGAGCTGGAGATTTGATTCCTCAACTTCATGGGATTATCACAAGGGATCCTGTTACGAACGCCTTGTGGGAATCTGCTGGTTTAGTAGATTTTTATTCGGCAATCGTAGGGTTTTGCAGCCCCCAGGGTTGTGGCGCGACAGTCGTTCGCGCGTTGTTGGAGTACTTTTGGGATACTACCAATACTTTTCACTTTGCTTGGGGGGAGATGACAGTGACCCCTCTGGATTTTAGCATGATCAGTGGTCTACGCTTCACCGACTGGGTCGTACAACAGATGTCTGATCTTTCATGGGGGGCGACCGAGGTAGCCGGTGTCTTGAGGTGGTCTTAGGAGCGGGCGATCAGAGTTGGCTTCTATTCTGGCCCGTGGTTTCGACATGGATGTGATATCACCTGAGCAGCGAGTGTGGATCTTCATTTTGATTTTCATTTCCATGACTCTTTCTCCTGATAGGAGTTCGCGTGCGCTCGTTTGCTACCTTTCTTCTTTACTCAAGATCAATGAGATAGGATCCTTTAGCTTGGCTAGTCTTGGATATGCCGATCTTCTCTTGTCGTTACGTCATGGCTGTAGGCAGCTGAACGACCAGGCCCCTGTCACTGTCTACGGTTTATGGAGAGTCGAAGAGGTGACGATCTTCCTCTTCTTGTTTAGTTTTAATTTGTTCGACTCATGTGCTCAAAGATTACTTTTCATTGCAGCTATGGTTCTATAAGTACTTTCCGGGATTGGCCCCTCGACGGCGTCGTGGAGCTGTCCATGAC